TGTGTGTGTGAGAGAGAGAGAGAGAGAGAGAGAGAGAGAGAGAGAGAGAGAGAGAGAGAGAGAGAGAGAGAGAGAGAGAGAGAGAGAGAGAGAGAGAGATTCTACTCTTTGGTGTGACTTCTTTTCATGGGTGAATCGGCAACGGGTCTTGCCTCTCTTCACGTGTTTTTATTTCTGTGGACTGGCATCTGCTCCTTGCGGTTTCCTGTGCTGTTTCTCCAGCTGATAGCCGGGCTTGATTTGATCCATGGTGGTCAGGCTGAACCTTTTTCTTTCAATACCATCCAGTAATGACCTTGCAGATGTTCCTTACAAAATTTGATTTGCTCCATGATGTCCAGGCTGCACCTTTCTTTGCTTTTATCCCTGACTGTTTCACAGTGCTCTGCGCTCCTGTCAGTTTCTGCGCTCGTCTTACATCTGATCACGGCAATTCTACTTGACATTTGCGACGCCAGAATAGGCGAAAGATTAGATTGAAAAGATGGGCATCAAATTTTCTCTGCACTCATCAATGTCATTCATCGCATAACAGTGACATTGTGTCGGTTATTGGTGAACTTCGTTGTTATTGGTTAATGGTTGAATGAATGACAGAGTCATACATCTTCGCATGCACCGGCCGGCAAGCTCATGAAGAAAGAATGGGTATATCTTGCTGTTAGGAATGGCGCCTTCAGCAATGGTTTTGCATGGGTGGAGAAGACGAGCTGTGGTCACCCCAGGCCCAATGATCCGGAGTACAGGAGGTTCTGCCAAGCCAAATTGGACATGCTGGAAGAGCTTGTGTGGCCTTTGGATGGGTGGCTTGTACGCGTTCGCCAGAGACTCGACATAAAGCAGTATGACGCATACATTGAGCATAGAAAAGTTCAGATGCGTTCAGCTAAAGAGGTATGTATTGCTTTTGCACCTGCTGGACCTGATCTGTCTGTTTACGAGTTGGGATCTGCCTGTTATCATTGGAATTTCATTACTTAAGACTGTGAGGCCCTGGCTATGAATGTTTTTCCAAAGCACAGGATGGCGGATAGAGTACCTCTGTCTCCTCAGCATTCTGGTACTTAGTTTGCCAGGAGTGACGATGATTTATGATGATGATGATGATTCCGGTACTTGCTTGGTTTGGCTATGGGAGCGATGTAGAAGAAGATGATGATTATGATGATGACAATGATGATGATGATGATTGAGCATGAAAAAGAAGAATGAAGAAAGGGAGAGGGGCACCAAGGTGGGGAGAGATGGAGGCTTGGACAGATGGCTGGATGGAGACGAACAGGTGGGTGGGTGGGTGGGTGGGTCCGTGAAAGTGTTTGAGAGTAAGAAAATTCAGAGGGGGACCTGGTCAAGGGGAGAGCGTTTAGAATTCTAAGTCAACCTTCTGATAACCAAAGATAGGAGGACAAGTTCTGAGGATGCGGAGATGGAGAGAGAGAGAGAGAGAGAGAGAGAGAGAGAGAGAGAGAGAGAGAGAGAGAGAGAGAGAGAGAGAGAGAGAGAGAGAGAGAGAGAGAGTTGATAAGGTGGGAGAGGGCAACCTGAAAGGCAAAGTTGCCCATCTGAGATCTCCAGGTTTGAGTCTAACAATCGTTCATTGGAGGGTTTCAGGGAACTGATTAGGGTCTGGAGTCTTGTTTGCTTCAGAGCAATGTCAAAAGTGCCATGTGGAAGTACGGTGCACTATTCTTTTGTCCTTTCCTTCCTTGTAAAGCGGGTAGCGCGTCACTTCGTTTTCATTCTATCCGCGAGGATTTGATCGCAATCTGTCTGTCAGCATGTGTATACCATTCATTTACCACCGAGGGACCGTTCAGAATCCCTGGCCAAGTTGGACCAAAAATAGAGGAAGAAAGCGAGTGGGGGGAACTCGGTCCCCCTGCCGTACCCTTTTTTTTTCTGTTTTTTACGATGTTGCTTGTTCTATTTTGAATGCAGATTCAGCGGTACTTAGAGCAACACCCAGAATGGTCACGGAATGAAAACCAGTCGGGCGGACAGAAGAATTTCGGGAAGTTAAAATCCTTGGGACTGGAGGCCAGCGCTATGAAGGACGGCCGGACCGAGGACAAGCACTGGAGATATACTCGCCGGAAATTGGGTGGGTGACACAGATATCCTGCCATGCTTACTCCTTTTGCTAGTGGACAGAGGATCCCTGTCCTTTTTCTTTTTCCAGGTGCTAGCCCTAATATTATTGATATGTTATGATCCTGCTCAACTCACAATGCAAAACTCAACTTTGAGACAATACAAGGTTTCTCAACGTAAGCAGAAGTGGAAATAGACTAGGAAAGGAAGAAGATTTCTCAACGTAAGCAGAAGTGGAAATAGACTAGGAAAGGAAGAGATTGGACAAGGAAAGAAGAAGGAACGATGCACAAGATTGAACCAATGTCATCTCGTCCTCTCACCAACCCGGATCTATCTTCGCCTCCTCTCGTCTACACCTCTCTCTTAAAAAGTTCATCAGCTGCATGCGCCTCTACATGCGCCTCTACATGCGCCGAGCCTGCGGGAGAACACAGCTGTCTGATTTTGCGATTGGCGGCTGAAAACAAAAGTTTTGGCCGAACTCGCCGGGGTTTGCGAACACGTCAATCTGGCACACAGAAGACATGTGGTGCTTGCTTTGTTTTGGTTTGTAGACATGTGGTGCTTGCTTTGTTTTGCTTTGGGGACACGTGGGGCTTGCTTTGTTTTCTTTTTAGCGTGTCCATTTTGTTTTTAGTTTGTCTCACAATGTCAGAGCATGGGAGGCGTCTGATAGTGGTGTCCGATCGACAGGGTTTCATAGGCGTTCATCTTTGTGCCAGGAGGCCCGTTTCATTCTCTTCTGTGGACGGCTCTCGGGTTGTCCTTGCAGTGCGGGGCGGTGGGTTGAATTCCGAGATGGCATTTGTTTTTTGTGGTCCTCCTCTCTTATGTATTTTCTGTTTTCTGGGTGTGGTGCAAAGGGGAGAATGGAGGGGGCATGCTGCTGCAAAGAGGCAAATTGGGTGGGTTGTTTTGCTTCCACGTGGCGCAGTGGCATAGAAGGGGAAAAGGATGGGGCACCCCACCGATACACGCACACACATACACACAGAGTTGGGGGTTGAACTCAGGCACCGATGTTGAGGTGCCAACTGCCCGATGGTTGGAGCGGGGGTTTGAATCCGCGCACAGACCTTGAATTACCAACTGTCTGAAGAGTTAACCATTGAGGTCGACTGGGTCTGTGTCTCAATTTGGCAAACTGTTTAATTTGAACAGATTGTCAGATCCCAAGAACACGTCTTGGACTGATGGTGTTGAAGACTGCATGGAGAGCACAGCAGTCCTTCAAAAGCCAGTACTGCTGGGCACAATCACAGCCAAAATACAAGAAGCATGGGGGGGAATTGAAGGAAGACCTGCAAAAAGAAACTGTCCAGAGTAGAGAAACCTTCGTCAGCTTTTTTTGGCCAGTCTGGAGCAATCCAGTTACAAAGTGTGGGATTTGGACCAGCAAAACAACTGCATGGGAAAATTGATCACTTTACAATTTCCTATCTAGTATCTACCGAGTTACCAACACATTTAGTGCTGCTTTAGACATGTCCCGATAATCCTCTAGACCTCCCCCTCCCCCCTCCCCCCCCCCCCCCCCCCCCCCCCCCCCCCCCCCTCCAATCGCCTCCACCTCCCTCTCTCTCTGCGTCTGTGTGTCTGTCTCTATTTGTCTCTGTCTCTGTCTCGGTCGGTCGGTGGGTCGGTCGGTCGTCCCGCCTTGCCCTGCCCTGCCACGCCTCCCCCCACTCTGCCCCACCCTGTCCCTCCCCGCCCCGCTCCGCCCTGGTGCTGCTGGAGCCACAAAGATTGAGGATGCAGTAGGGCTCCACTGTGTCTGCGAAGGTCCTAGTGGCCTGTTAAAAATTTTCAGCTGGGGTGCAGAAAATCTGGGAGTGCGAGTATGGCTTCCATGGTTCAATGGCCTGTGTCGTTGTCCAATTTTGTCGCGAACCGCCCGGTGACCCGGGCACAGCCCAGATCTGTGGGCTATCGCCCAACTTCGGAATCGGCCGCGCATGTGGGTCCTCCACTGGCTAGAATGGCCCAGATGCCCGGCTGGTCTTAAAACTTGGTGCCTGGCGGCAGATGTGGGGTGTGTGCCGGTCCACAGTCCGGAAATGACCTAGAGGGATTGCTATAGTGGTAGGGAAGTTACTCAGGCAGGGCAGGTTGATTTTGCAGTGCAGGAATGCTCCTTTTGGAACGTATGTGGGCAAGTAGCCAGGGATATGATCTGGGACTTATCCACGTGCATTTCTGAGAGGGAATCCATTGCAAAGCCAATCGGACCTACAGAGGCCGTTCTCGTATCCTTTCGGCAAAACAAAAGGGAAAGGGGGAAAAGCAGTAGGTTGAGTTAGAACGTCAATGTTCAGCTCGTTTTCCAATTTCACTTTTGACTTTTCAGTGTTCTTGGGGACTTCTCGCAGCAAACTTTCCTTTTCCTTTTTCTCTTGCAGTGTACTACAGTCCTTTTTCACCAAATGCAGTGGAAAGAATCAGTGCCCTTTTTCAGAGATTCAGATTTCTCGTTTTGGTCTGATCTCTTGCAGCGTACCTCCTTGCCAGTCCTTGGCCTTCTGCCCTTCTGTCTGTTCCTTTTCACACGAAAGAATTAATGCCCTTTCTCAGAGATTCTGGTGTATGATGAGGTGATCCAAATACGTAAACTTGCGAATCTCAGTGATATGTTTGTCGAATGTTTCAATTTTTGCAGCTGCAGAAGAGGTCCCGGATAATCAAATCCTCTGGAGCAAGGTCTATTCTGAAATCAATCGCTACAATTGGTTTGTTCTGCAGACGCTATTTTCTCTTTCTGACTGCGTCCCTTGCATGGTTATGTATGGTAATTATGGTTATTTTTCTGGACGACTGTCGTGCAATGATACCACACTTCACACACGGCTTCACACTCACGATGCACTCTTCATCACATCCAGCGTTGCACACAGAGACAAGATGAGAACACTTGAACTTTGAAGATTTATTAAATTTCAAGGCTTATACAACAAGCCTTGTGTGTGCACACGCTTGTGGCGCAGGCCGCCAAGTTCATACTGAGGTAAGTCTCTCTCTCTCTCTCTCTCTCTCTCTCTCTCTCTCTCTCTCTCTCTCTCTCTCTCTCTC